GTATACAGTGAAAACTAAAAATATCGACATTGACTGTGTTTATGAAAACTGTAATTTTTTAGAACATTTCTTTTTGTTACTGGGACTGAGGGAATTCTTCCACAATTAGGACGATAATAGCTTCAACTTGATATGTTTTGTGATCTTTTAACGTATCGTTGATCAAAATCGGTCCAATAGGAGACGGACTAAACGGGTATATGGTCACAAAAAAAAACATGGCAGATTAAAACCAATATCTTTTGGCTATGCATTAAAGTTAATATATACACTTCAAAGTATGCAATTTTCATTTATTGACGAGTAATGTTAAATTTTTCGACATGTTAACAGAAATATGTTTTTGGCAATTGTTAAAATAAATTGACTTAAATATCCGAAATGTTGAAAATACTTTTCAAAAACACGGCAAAACTATTTAGTCACAATAAACTGAACCACCGATAAAATAATATTTATACTATTATAATTGATTATTCGTTATGAATATGAAGCTAATTGATTATAGAATTATCTTAAATGAACTAGGGGAAATAAAAGTTATTCCAAGAAATTAGTCCAATTTAAAATCACAAGAAGTTTGTTAAATTGGTTAGCCATTACCTATTTAGAAAGTATTGTATATAGTATTTGATTAGTTTTCCCAGGTTCTTAAATAGTTTATACTTCATAAATAACTAACAAGAAATTTTACACTTCATTCCATCGACGCGTATCAAATGTTAGGTAGCCTTTTCGGAATTAGCTACAGAAGTGTTTTCAGGAAAGATCATAGAATAGATGAAGATATAGTGCTTTAAATTAACTTAAAAAATGGGTGACACTTTTTAAAGTTTACAGTATACCAGGTTATAAGTAAATCATTAGTTAAACTTATCACAATAATTGTGTGCAGCAAGTGACGGATATCATATCACTAACTTTTTTAAAGAAGCGTTGTTTTTAAGTGTATATTATTTGCTTTCCCGATTTTATTTTTAACCATTAAAATATAATTTTCTTCATTATTATGAGTTTAAACAACTAATCTTTGTCAATACTTCAAAAAATATTGTCCTACGCATGCGTATCAATTTAGAAGACACGTTCTCATGAAAGGGGAAGTATTGGAATTTTTACATATTACCCCTACAAGTTGTATTTTCTCGTTAAATTGATTGTATATAATTTTAATATTTCAAAATCGTGTATTCAAACGCTTCGAAGAAAATTATTATAAGATTTTAAATTAAAATCACTATTTATAAGTTTACTAAAAAAATAAACCGCTATTTAATGGGACAAAATTAAATAAATTATCCAGACTAAAAAAATTAGTTTTTTTTCTTTAAAATGGACATTCATTGATGTTTTAATACCATATTCTAATGATTCATGTATAAGTAGATATTTGTATTTTTTTTTTTATTATTAATTGATAAAATTAAATTCTGTTTAAAGTTCTTTCAATTCTCTCTTCATTCAAAAATTCAGAAAAAAGTATATTTTGAATATAAAACCAATGTAATTTATGAATACCAAATAAATTCGTCCTGTTAGTATAGTATTTTGAAAGAAGGTGACGCTTTGGTAATTTCCAGGTGTTTTTGTAAAGAAAACATATTTTTGGTTCACAAAAGTATACAATCGGTTTTTACAAGTAACCTTATTTGTATATTTCCTCGAAATTATGTGCATGTATTTTTCCTTAAATACTAATATTTGTAATTAAAAGCAAAATGTTTCCATTAAAGTGAAACACTTCTTATTATTGGGTTTAATAATTATATTAATAAAAACATCGTTTTATCTTTCAATTGTTATCATGAAATGTATTCCATAATATAGCACAATAACATAAAATAATACAATATAGTATTATAAAGTAACATATTCAAATGTTATTTATTCAGTGAGAAACCAATCAAAAAACGTAAAATTAAATTTAGTATATGAACATTGAGATTATGTTATTTAACATTATAAATATATTAATTATTTACACTATTGAATAAAATTTTACAAATTCGCATTTATTTTGGAATAAAGGGTTTTGCAATAAATAACAATAAAATAAATATATATTTATCATGTTTATTATTATTATTATTATTATTATTATAAAAATTTGTATATATAATCTACTCAGTATCCAGAGTTTATTCCTAATGAGGTACAATTTTATTTTTTTAATTGTATCTTACATATTAAACTGGTTTATATAATAGAAAAAGACAATTCTATAACAACGTTTGAACTAGCTATAAACATTTTAAAATGTAGATTGGTTGTGAGGTGCAGGGTAATGTTATTTTTATCATGACACATCGATTTGCCACCATAAAAATATTTTTATAAATATACTTTTTCTGTTCGTGTGTAAGTATTTAAACTCCTCCTTGACGACTAGACAGAATTTTTTTTAATTTTTTGTGTGCGACTAAGTTGATTTGAGAAAGGTTTAGATTCACAGTTTGATTTCGAATATAAATTTATAAAAAATATTTTTAATATTTATATTTTTTCATTCAAAAAAAAATACACATCATAAAAATGATTTGTGTTTTTATTTAAGTTATTTACTTAAGTTTATAGTATATAATTATATGAACACGATATAGGTTAACAGGATTAATAGGTTAATAGGGGAACAAGACAATATCTGTCGGGTATTTATATTTAAATTAAATACTAATACACGACCTACGAAAATGCCAAAAGCGAAACTAATACACGGGCAACGAGTGGTTAGGTCAGGTAGTATTTATATACCATTATATTTATAAAAATTTTGAAGACTCCTAAACTACTGGTAGAAAAGTTATTATCAACCAGTTATTTTCTTAGTTTAATTATTTTTGTCATATGAACTAGTTAAATATATATGTTTCTATTGAAAAAATTATGTTGGTATCCTTTTATTAGGAATATGGGGTAGACCTAAATAATACTTAACAATTCAAAAATCGAGAAATAAATACTACTTATATAAGCCAAAAAGAAATTAAATTTATTATTATTTTAGAAGAAATCTAGTAATAAATGATAAAGTATTACTTTGTATTATAACACTAAATGTAATCAAACGTAATAGTTTATTACGGTTTAATTATTAATATATTCACACTGAGTGACAAAAAATTATTTTCTCAATTAAATAGTTAGTTACAGCATGTGATATAAGTATTTTTTGAAAAATGTCGTAAAAAACGTAAAATGTACAATCAACTTGATGAAAAAATTGATTTTCTAGTGAACATTCTGGTCGTTTAGATGACTATCTTAAAAAGTGCACTATTGTATTGTTGTTTTAGTACCCATCAAGAAATAGTATTTTTTAATTAATGGATAATGATTTATTTTTATATAAAAAATTATAATCAAAATTGTTGATTAAATTTTTTTTAACATGAGTATAGCTGATTGTTTTAATTAATATAATACAAAAAAATAAATTGAAGTCTCAAAAAATTTATATTCGACAGATAATTGGTTCTTGGCTGTGTGAATAGTCTATAATATGCTATTCTAGTTAAAATAGAAGAGTATAAGAGAAAAATAGAAAATTTAGCTTTAAATTAAACTTAATTAAAATTGTTTTTAAAAATCAAATAAACAAAATATAAATATTTTAATTTTGATTTTTAAATATAAATTTAAAACATATAGGCGTAATCATAAGGGGGATATTACTGTTTTATCCCTCTCCATGGCAAAGATATAACGTTTTTTCGTTTGTTGGAAAAAGTGAAAAATTTTCTCATGTACTATTCTCCCACCAAGATGAAACCCTTAATTGCAAAGCTGTTAATGTATTATACAAGTTCAATGTTTTATCATTAGAATTTATGATTGGATTTCAAGTATCAGCATTATCACAAGAATAATAACAATAAATATAATTATTGTAACAAATTCGTTTTTCTCTCTTTTTTCCGCTTTAATGACTTCTAAAAACAAAAATTTAATGTTAATAAAGACCAGAAGAATCGTGCACTTTATACTCGAATGCAATCAAAAACTTTCCAAGTAACAATTCTATTACAATAAAAACATTTGTTTATGAGTTGTTATGTAGATGTTTTGGCTATTCAAATTCATTTGACGGTTTCAACAATATTGCTTTTGTGTATGCTCCTCAAATTATTATTGTTCAACACCACATTGTTACTCCTGCTTTCTATTATAATATCTCTTTTGAGGTAGTAATTTTTTTAATATCTTAACTGTGTGTTATAAAGTATCGTTTTTGCATGCATTTTGTTTTTTTAAACAAAATTTTTAGTAATTATTTTTAATAATTTTTTAAATAATATTATATTTTCTAAAAAAAACAAAAAGTCATTAGTTTTGATTTAGAAATTTGAGTCTCACTGGAGTTTCATATACGTCTTAGTGAGACCTAGAAACAAGTTATTACTCGAGTTTAAATAACGTGTTTTATGAATGACTACAATTTTAATTTTAATGAATTCTCTTTTAGCGTTACTATTTGTAGAAGAGGAACGAGTAATTTTATGCTTACATTTTTTGGGGATTTTATTAATTTCATTAGTCAATAATTTACCATTAAAAACATAAGTTGAAAACTTTATAAATCCCGATATAAAATCTATACAATAATCCTAAGCATTATAATTGTTACAATAATTTTAGCTTCGGTACAAGGCTGAGTAGGTTGGGTTGGGTTGGGTTAATTTTACTATGAAGTCTTTTTTTTGTGTATTTCTGTTACCACTTTTTCTCAGCTCTTATCGAGCTGATTTCTTTCAACGATATATCAAATGATAACAATTCGTATTTAGTTAAATATATTTCCCTCAATAATTGAAAAAATGTTCACTTTATCAATTAAAAAGTTACTTAGGCCACATTCTTCATATAGATTATTATTCATTATTTTCAAATGTTTTTAAGTATTGTCAAATTAGGCTTGATATGATAATAAGTTTCAACTACACAATTTAAAATCAACTTTATTAAAGGATGAAAAAATAAGTTAAAAATGAAATTTTGCACGGATTATTTTTAACATATTAAAATCAATAATAATATAAAAACATTTTTTTTCTATTTAAATACTTGTTTCTTACTAGTTATGATATAATTAAGAAAATAGCATTTGATGTTATTTTTGGAATAGTTCAACAATTCCTCCTAAGAAATAAACACTATCTATAGATTTGCATCAAAGCATTTTTTATGATAGTGATTTTAATTACTTATTTAATAATATTATTTGTCTCAACTATGCCACTTCCTCACTATTCCTCGACCCCACTATGCTACCGTTTTTTATTACATAAATAATTATCAGTCCAGTGGGCCATCTCCTCATTTTAATTCATGTCATTATTAAAATCAACTTTAAATATCATATTCACTTATTATGTATTATAAATAGCAATTATGCTATATAAAAAATGAAATATAAATTATTTCATAACTTTTTAAGCCAAGTTTTCTTTTTAATTTTGGAAGTTTTCAATGTCGAATCATTATTTATACTGAATTTTCTTTTCTTTTAATATTACATAGGCTTATAATCAGCTACTTTTATATTCACTTCAATAAATCTGAGTTTAAAATGGCATTATAAGTTCACTCTGAGCATATTACAATGATGCGAGTAATTGTTGATAACTTAAAGTAACTTGAAAGAATCCAGATGGAATTACGATTACTCATAGCAGTACAATAATTCAGGAAAATTACTGTATTTGAGGATACCAGCTGTAAAGGATAATTTGTGATCAAGTAATTAAGTTAAAACTTATATTTACAACATTCCTAAGTATTACTTATAATAACAGCATTGACGTTGAGAAACTAGTATCTAATAATCGAGAGATAATTATAAATTATGATTTGTATTAATAGATATAACGTTCAAAAGATTATTTCTATTGTACAAGTTAATTTATACATGTGATAAATATAATTTCTTAAATTTAAGTCACTAAAAGAACATCAGGAATTAGGTGTAAAAAGAAAATATAAATTATAATAAAAATGAAATATATGGAAAATTAATTTATTAATTTGTTTTAGTTATTTTACTTTTAAAAATCATATTATTTATATTTAATGGCAAAATTTTTTTTGTCTTTGTATTAATGTGTGACAGAGTTTTATTGATATTAATGGGACCCAAGTGTACATGTATGATTGAGTTTTTTTATTTGTCGAAAACAATTTCCCGTCTCTACGAAGGACACTTTAAATTTTTTAATGGATTAAATTTAGTTAATATCAAAGTGAATAATAAATAGCAAATAGAATAATAAACTCAACGTTTTCACGCGCAATGAATTAAAAAAAATTTCCTATCATTATTTTCCATGGACAATTTTAGTAAATTCCAAATGTATAAGTACAATATTTAAAATCATAAAGTTCGAGTAAAATTCATCTATATTCAAAATTACAAATATTTTCAAGCAACAAATATAGTTTCTTTAAAATATATATAAAAAAAAAAATACTTGTAAATGATTTTTGCTTCAATATGAAATCATAAATCAGAATCCTAATAATTAGATAACGATAATGTCTATTATAACTCTAAAATGATTATATTCAAGAATTATTATTAAACTTAAAACTCCAATAAGTTTATGCAGGGAACATAAATCGGGAAATAACTTTAAATGCATTAAGCTAGTGGATGATAGAGGAAGTTACCGTAGTTTGATAAATAGATTCAGTAATATAAAATGAACTGCAGGTAACATGCTTCTGAGAAAATTATATTCATTACTCAGTTCTAATCCACAGAGGTACACGTGTCAAAATGTTTGACATGTTTTTGAAGGTTTACAAATAAAATATGCAAAAAGAAATAATAGTATAAAAATTTGCTATCTCTTTACACTTTTGAGTGTATATTTTAAGACGTGTATTCTTATGTTACAAGTTTTCACTGTTTTAAGTAACAGCGTTTCAAATTCAGAGAAGTATAAAATATTTAAGCTTTAAATAACCAATTTAAACTTTTTTATCAATTTAAACATAATTTCGAAATATCTTTTTGTTAAACTCTTTAACGTTTTTTGAATGTTGAATATTTTCCTTTGCAACAGTAAAAATTTGTTTGAAAGTATTTTATTTTAATTTTTAGAGTTTTACTAGATTGCTTAAACAATAATTACTGACCTTAAATCAATTATAATTTTTTGCACAATGTATGTATATATTTCTGAAATCGTTCCCTAAATGTAAAAATACTTTTAGTCAATTGTTTCAGATAATTACTAAAGTTTAAGAAAAAAATCTTACTCGTTTGTCCGTCATATTTGAAAAAAAAATATCGTTTTTTACAGCTTTAAAAGGTTCTGGCCAACGACATTGATCGATTAGGCCCACAAAGCGCGATTTTATTTAGCTTATCTAAGTTTTACTGTATATTTATTTTTATGTTTAGAACAATTTTTCTTTGTAATGACTTTAGTTCATTTAAAATTACCTTATGAATCAGAGTGTTGTTTATGTTTAATTTATTTCGTTTAACGGTTTCATTACATTAATAGAGTACTGTAACTGCAGGTAAAACTCAGTTATAAATGTTCAACAGGCTCTTACTGAATAGTTTATTTACAAAAGTACCAGATAAATAATAGGCTATACATATATCTGTAGCTTAAATTCAAAAGGTAATAGACCCCAAATAATATGTTTCTATAAAATAAAAATATGTAATTTCTGAACTTCAAACATGTCTATTTGCATAAGACACATTGAACATTTTCTCCTGAAATTTTTTTAAAATTTACATGTTAATTGATTTTTAGGAAATTATTATAGATATACATAGTGAACCAATTTAACTGACAACTCTTATAACTTTTAATCCAATAATATATGGAATATATATAAGGTTTGTTTGATCAGTTGTTTTCTTTAAACAATTTAATGGTCCAATAAAAACTTATGGTAAAGTATTGTAACTTAATGAGTACTTTAGCTTAAATTTTTATCCGAGCATTAAATTTTTAAAGAAAACATCTGAACAACGGCAGTTATGAAATTTTGAAAAATATAATTAATAAATTTAATAAAAATTATCACTTTTTGTTCTTATTATAAATAAATAATATAAAATATATTTTTAACATGGTCTAAAAACACAAAAACTGTCTAAAAAAATTACAGCAAAATGATTTAATTATATAATATTGTTTGCTTAATAATAATAAATAAATCATAAAAAATTTTTGTGTCGAATTTTTAGTTATTTGAATATGCAAAAAGATTATTTTTCAATACACTTGCTTTATAACAAGTATACAGAGTGTTCAGTATATAAGGAAACGGGTTTCTATTGTTTTCATTGTTTGTAACAATTTACCTGTTTCCTTACTTACTGAACACTCTGTATACAAGTAACGTTAAATTTATATTTATTCTTATTTGTATACTGAATGTTAAATCATACCGGTCTTTGCTAGGCGCGTGATGTAATATGAATAAAATACAAAGAATACATCATCACTGTATTATACTCGCTTTATCTTCAGCTGTCACAATAATAAAATATTATGCGAATTGTATTAATAACACTCTATAGGTTTGTATACAAACAGGAAAAGATTAAAGACAAATAGATGTCATTATTCGACTGATTTTGTTTTCTAATCAGGTACATGAAATGAAGTTGCATCGATAAAAAGCAATGACTATTATTTTATATTTATATTTTAATCAATACGTAGGGCAGAAGAAATATCTTAAAATTATTCTTAAGTTGAGTTTGTTTCTATATGCAATATCAGATAAAATCTACTAGTGCGAGATTTTTATAGAACACCGTTTTCTTTCAATTGTGTTTCCGCTAGGAGGAAGAAAGAATAATTCTTTTAACTTTCTTCGGATACAAATAAAATTAAATAGAAAAGTTAAGAAAAAAGAAAAGTTTTTTTTGCTCGTATAAATGTTAAGTGCTTTTTGTTGTAGGACGTTCAGATAGTTTTTTTTACAACGGGTAAATAACCTAACCGTAATTGGTACACTTGTGCCCATGATCATAATTTAGGCTAGATCGGAATATAATTATTATTATTTAAATCTATAGTACTTGGGCTCAGTTTCTCTAAGACCGGTTTGAAGACGTTTTTTGTTACTATTTGAGATTAAAACATTAAATAGGTTCCGTACCTAGAGCTGACTTGGAAGTAGGGTAGGCTCGGGCTTACCCAACATGACACGTACAAATTTCACCACCCCATGAAATTGGAACAATAATGGGGGAGGTGTAGTGTGGCGCAATGGATCAATCAGACGCTGCCTTAGCGCTGATGTTCAATTGCGCTGTTTACTGTTGGCTTACCGGATGTGTATGACCATACGGTAACTTTAACAGTGACACACACTTTGCCTTTGCACTGATTTCCTTAGCGATAATGAGGTTTCGTCAGATCTATCAGTCGGTGTTAAAATCCTGTTAAATTAATAAGGTAAAAACGACCCCAAAGAGTTACGATAAAAGCAAAGGAGATGATGATGATTCAATTGACACATAATTATTTTCAACATAGGAAGTTTTAACCTTAGCATCCATGGACATTGTCACAAGAGGTTTAGCCTCTTCGAATTAAAAAAAATTTTAATTTATATACCTAGAAAATATTAATAATAACATTAAATTCATGTATTAACAAGGGCGAACAATATTAAAACGCAGGCGGAAATCAGGGTCGGCTTAGAAGATTTGGCCTTTAAAATATTTCATGAAAACTTTATTTTCTTTCATAGTTCATTATGTTTTCGTATGGCAATTATTATTATCTAAATTTTAAAAAAAATTAATTATTTGAGAAAACAATTCTTTCAAAATTCATCCACACACCATCGCAAATTTCCGTTTAGCAACAAAAGTTTAAAAAAGCATCATTTTAAACAATTATGTTGTGGTAAATTAATATAACAGAATTTAAACAATCTCCTTGTGGTCATTTATATTTTGATCCATAAAATAAAAACAACACTTTACTAACTTTCATTGGAAGCTTAAAATTATATATTAGAAGTGAGGCCTGGGTATGACTTATGACTTGATATTAATTATCATTAGACTGTCGACTCCTTCTACCGCCTTGATATAACAACGTTAAACATTTCCAAAGTACTGATCCAAAAGTTGCTATCGACCAGTCCTATAATAGATCATTTTGTACTTTATAAGGTAGTTAAATATGTATGTGTAGCTAATTAAAAAAAATAAAGTCAACGCCTTTATAAGGTATAAGGGTAAACTAAAAAAGTACTAAATAATTAATAAATCAAGTATATGTAACTAAAAAAGCCAAAAAAAAATATTGAGAATTTTATCGCTGACTTTTTAGTTTCTTGTACTATTTAATTTATCAATCATTAAGAATTTGTTTGGCTTATCCCTTGTTCTTTATGTGGGCGCAAACTATTTTTTTAAACGCAACATACATATTTAAGTAGCTTATATAATAGAAAATAAATTAATTAAGAAAATGACTGGTCGAAAACAACTTTCAGATCAGTACTTTTTAAGTTATTCTCATTTTTATACCTAGGNCGTATTTTAGATCATTTTGTACTTCGTAAGGTAGTTAAATATGTATGTGTAGCTAATTAAAAAAAAATAAAGTCAACACCTTATACGGTATAAGGGTAAACTAAAAAAGTACTAAATAATTAATAAATCAAGTATATGTAACTAAAAAAGCCAAAACAAAAAAAAATATTGAGAATTTTATCGCTGACTTTTTAGTTTCTTGTACTATTTAATTTATCAATCATTAAGAATTTTTTTGGCTTATCCCTTGTTCTTTATGTGGGCGCAAACTATTTTTTTTAAACGCAACATACATATTTAAGTAGCTTATATAATAGAAAATAAATTAATTAAGAAAATGACTGGTCGAAAACAACTTTCAGATCAGTACTTTTTAAGTTATTCTCATTTTTATACCTAGGCGAGAGAACAATTTTGGCCGGAAAATTACTAGTGATAAAAATAGTAGTATCCACTCCTCACCTACAGGCGTTACTTTATATTGTTAATAACTTATGAAATAGTAGTCCAAATATATTATTGGCCAATGTTTTTTTAATTAGATCATTTTCTATCTTATAAACTAATTTAATATGAATGTTATCAAGTAAAAAAAATAAGGTTGATACCACTTAAGTTATAAGGAATGATTTTTAAAAGTAATTATTAATTGATCAATATATCAAGAAATATATGGAACTAAAAGAAATAAAAATTTGTTTTTCATTATTATATTTATTTTGCGAGTAATCGAGTGGTTTATAATAAACCGATCATTCTGTATATAAATTATAAATGATACCATTGTTTACCATTTGAGATATTTACAATCAATTATTTTTAAACTTTAATTAAGTAATCCGTCACTGGTGTAATACTAGCGCATTGATTTCCGGTCAAATACACAGAACATAAAAGGGAGATTTCGTTAGAAATATAAACTATGCAATTGGACAATAACCCTTTTGTTAATAAACTATTGACCGCAGTTGTCGATGGCAGTTCCGGTTTAGTTTAAAGGTTGTCGATTTACCAGATTACCAAAACAAGTACACATGTCTAATATTCGTGATCATTTTACTGAATGATTGTGTTCTTTTTGCGCTCATTCAGCACGTGTAATTTTCTTTTGCATTTTTGACTCCCACAAAAGTTAACCCAAGGGTCTATTTTACCTACGCCAAACCCTAAAAAAATAAATGTTCCCTACGTGACAGCAACGCTTTGAACGAAATTGCTTTTATAACGTAACTTTTGAACGAGTAAACATCGTTAATGATGACTGTAATTATATGCAATACTCATTATTTACACTTTTTACGAATTTTGTCTGCATAGTTGAGCACTTCTAGTATTTTATCAGCATAAAGTGTTTTTTGTGATAATTAAGACAACGTGATGACGTACGAGTGAAGTTATAATAGAACTGAAAACTGGTACTACCATTACAGACCAGAGCATTGCGTATTTTAAATGTTTGCTAGTACAATGAAATGAAAGAAATTTGCATGTGTACAGAATTCATTTATTTGGACATATATTGCTGTAATATATAGAACACAGTTTTTTATATTCATTGAAATCCTGAAACCTCTTTGTACAACAAATAATCTTTCAAAGTTCTGAATTCAATTTATTTTAAATTATGAAGATTTTTATTTGAACGCAAATTATTTAAAAAAACATTTTTTTTATTATTGCCTTTATTTATTATTTATTGGTTTGTACTGTATCTCAGATCTAACTGACATAATCCTTTAATCAGTTAACATTTGGAGTAATTTTTTTTTTCAATTATTTCCTTAGACTTAGTTAAAATGATTATTTTTATTATTTGTTTATTAAACAAATTTTTTTTTCAAAAATTGTTTCAGAAATTTCAAAATATTCATTTTTGTTTTTTTTTTGGTATAAAATTGATTTTTCATTGACTTACAATCATTTTAATATATAGAGCGGTCTGAAACACAGATGAGATAAATGTACACTAGTAAGGGCAACACTGACTCGCGCCACATACTTAATCTATTTATTTTAATCGTTGAAACTTAATAAGTAATTGTCCCACAACTTTTGATGGTCCAACAAAAAGTTTTTTTATAAAAATAAAATTTTTTATTTATTTGAAAAGAATGGTTAAAAAATATTATATATAATCCAGAAGTTTTATTATCTCTAGAATATTTATTGAAACCAAGTGACTTGATAAAAAATATTGTTAATGTAAAATCTACATTAGAGTCAATAATTAATTTATGTGACAGATGTCAAGACTGTTTAAT